GGTGCTCTTTGTCGCTGAGAGCTGGGACTTGGGACTGAGGCGCTCGAAGAGCTTAAAGCGGCCCCGGGGCACGTCAGGACGGCCTGCCAGAATCCTGGGCTCTCTGGGCGGACCCGGCCTGGGCCCCCGAGTCCCGACCCGCCGACTCTAACACAGGACGGTGCCCGGCCTAGTGGTGGGCGGGAAGCTGCCGTGCCTTCGTCCCTCCCGAGTTCCACGGGCCTCCTTGCTGGGAGTCTCGGGTCGTGTTCAATAGTACGGGACGTCTGGGAATAAAACTGAACGTGGGTGTGCGCTCACGGGAACAGAGAGCATCAGGGCCCCCTCTCTCGCCTGCCCCTTTCCCCACCGGGCCTCTGCACAGGCTGATCTCTGACCGGCGTGCCCTCACCACCTCCCGGTCTTGTCCCTGTCTTTGCCGATGCCCCTCAGCATGGCTAACGTTTCTCGACATTCTGAGTCATCTCAGTCTCTTGCTGCAGTAGTTCCTCCCAGAAGAACCCCGCCCCGCCCGCCCTGACCCCCTACTCTGTGCTCCCACTGACCCCAGGTGCTGACGTCATAGAGCCTACTGTCTTCACCTCATCAGAACGTGAATTCCCTGAGAGCCGGGCTCAGCAATGCAGCAAGTTCAAAGCCACCGGCTTACAAGTGGACAAAAATATTTTCCCACACACAGAGTGAAAAAATTCAGAGCGTAAGAGAGTATGGGGTGAATACGCAGTGTCTTCCCACCCCTGACCTCCATGGCCTGGTTCCCGTCCCCTAGAGCAGAGAGAAAGCAGTGTCTTCGGTTTCAACAGAGAAAGTGTGCATGTGTATCTAATGAGTTTACACTAAAGTGTGATCCTCTTACTAAACATGGCTTGGAAACTTTATGTTCCCACGCCTAGATTGGATTCAGTCCTCCTTGTGGCTGCCCCATTTTTTATTAGCACTATAATTTATTCGTCCTGTTTTTTGTTGGTTGAAATGTAATTTTTTTTCCAGTCTTCTGTAACAGACAATGCTAGGGTCAGGATCCTTGTACAAATGTCTTTCTGCCCAAGTAGGAGGATCTCTGTGGGTTGAATTCCTTAGTGCAGAAGGGTGAAGTCAAAGGGCCTTCCATAGATCCCTGAGTGGGTATGTGATCTGTTAAAATAGTATTTCATTGTGGTTTGATTTGTGTTTCCCAGGAGTATAATTAAACACCTCAGTGCTTCTGTCAGATTTATTATGTTGGTCATTTCTATCACTAATATCATTTTGAAACCAGAAAAATTTGTTTATTACAAATATGTGTATATTTAAAAGCCATCTGTATAGCACATTCTTGGTCGTTTATTCTGCTGGATTGTGGCTGTTACTGTTTCTGAGGAGCTCTTTTCATGTTCAGAAAGTTAAGCCTATTGTCTGTTAGGAAAAAAAGTACTTTTTTCCAGTCAGTCATTTGTGTTTGATTTGGATTGTAGTTTTTGTTTGTTGATTTTATTTATTTATTCATTCATTCATTCATTCATTTATTTATTTATTTATTTATTTATTTATTTATTTCCAGCATTTAAAATTGTCATCATTTTATCATTTATGGCTTCTACATTTTGTACCGTGCTCAGACACGTGTTCCCTACTCCAAGATGATAAAATGTGATGTTTTCTTTCAAAAATGTAATGGTTTCTTTTTCAAATAGGTACTTAAATGTTGGGTCTAATTCTAGAAAGGACTTTTGGGAAGGGGTGAGGTAGGAACCCAAACTGCTTTTTTCCACGTCATTTGCCCCAACTCCATCTCCCGAAAAAGCCTTTCTTTCCCCCACTGAAATGCCACCTTTATCCCTCACTGAGCCCCCTGTGCCTATGGGTCTGTTTCTAGACTCTGCCATCTGAGTTAGTGGGAACCTGGCTGTTTTCTTTACTGACTGTCCAGAGGCTCGTCTCCCCTTATCTGAGTCAAGAAAAAATTGCCCTAATAAATATTCAATGACTTGAACGTATTCCATGGAATGCTAGTTCCACAAGGCACTCTGGTGGAAGAAAACTTGTCTTTGCCTGCCCCTTTGGATCTTCACAGGGCCCGGCGCTGACCTCTGTTGAGGCGTGGCTTTTGTCAGGCTGACACCCTAGGAGCCCCACACCCCTGCTTTTCTCCTACGCCTGCCCATTGCATGTGAAGGGTAAACTAAGGCAGGCTCTGTGGATCAGGCGCTTGTCAGGCCAACCCGGCCCGCAGCTCTGCCCTTCTGTGGGGACGCCCCTCTCCTATGTGGGCTGCCTTGGAGGGGCTCACCTGCAGCCTCTGGGGAACCACACCAGGGCAGTGATTGGGGGAAGATCTTGGTATCTTCCAGGATGTGCCCCCCTTCCCTTCCACTTGGTACAGCCCATGGGCCAGGCCGCCTGGGACAGAGGCCAACTTTCGGTTCTCCATTTTGTGAATTTTCCAGGACACATGTATGTTCACACCCAGCAGCATTCTGCTGTTCAGCAGATGCCCGGGCATGCGCTCCCCTGGCACGGGCCCCCTCAGCTCACCGGCACCTTGGGTCCTCCCCTGGACACCTTACTGGCAAAGCTCAGGTGTGGGCCCTGGGTCCCAGAAGCAGATTCCTGGTTTCTCTCCCGTGGCTTAGGCACATTGCCCTGACACCAGAGACCCCAGGGGACGCAGCTTGCCCAGGGTGTGTGGCTGTGGCAGGGGCAGTGGGCTTCAGCTGGTTGGGCCCCTCCCAGAGGGTGGGTCTGGGGCGCACATGTGTCCTTCACCCGGAGCTTCTTTCCTGGGGCTCGATACCCGTGGAGCCCAGACTGGACTTCCTGTGGGCCCAAAACCCGAGGGCTGGTCTAGCCTTCCTCCCCTCCTTCCCCCCAGGCACCCTGCTTCACTGATCACCCGTTAAGCTGAGCTGGTGGAACCCACCCCTCTGGTTCTGGCATGTGAACTGGGGGCCCCCAGAGATTCCAGGAGAGGATCGGGGAGTTCAGTCTCCTTCCCTGCCCATGGTGGCCCTGGTTGTGAGGAGCAATGGCCCTGCGGGGCCCAGATCTGAGATGGGCCCTAGGGACGGGGTACCGCCCTTCAGTGTCCTGGGCACCCCATTTAAGGTGTGGGCACTCCCTCAGGGCAGACACCTGTCTGGTTCACAGAGTACAGGGCCGACCTGTTAGCTGTGGGACCCCCATCACGTGGGGGTGCCAGCTCAACATCAGAGTACCCCTTCCTTAGTTTCGAAGCTTCTGCCATGTGCCAGGTCGGTCTCTGGGACAGTGACAATCCTGGGTTGCTGGAGTCGCCGTCCCCACTGTCCCTGCTCACAGGGGAGATGGCTCAGGCCAAGCTGCCCTCGGAGAAGGTGCCCTGGCACCCTGGCTGGGCTGAGGCCCTGGCTTCCCAGGGCTCAAACCCTCTTGGGACACAGGCATGCCCCTGCCAGACAGTGGACCCCAGGACCAGGCTCAGGGGGGGGGGGTGGGATGCAGGTCAGGGCTACATGTGTGTCCAGAGCACATGCACAGGTGAGATGGAAACCTGC